GTCAAATGAGCCTTGAAGACAAATTAGACTCTTCCATGACCTACGGATTCCATGTTTATTTAGCTGGTGGCATTTAGGTGACCATAAATAATGACATTCTCAGCAAGCCAGGACCCACGTTGCCTTTCAAAATCTGGTCAGGAGACAACAGGAGATGACCCCAAGCTGAATATCAAACCCAAAGTTTCAACATCCTACCAGAACCTGGTCAGACTCTGGGTCCACAAGGTGGGATAGTAAAGTGCAGAGCCATCCAGTCAACCAACTGCTTCCTAGCAATCAGCATGAGATGTGGAAGCCAAATGCTTCCTCACCAGATGCCAGCAGGTTGATCATTCCCTTAAATCCTCACGTACCACTGTCTGACACCTGGCACTCACTTTAGGAACTGGCCAGATATGATATTTGACTAGCGTAACCACCCAATAATTTTTCAAATTACTGGGTTTCCATGTGTTGTATACTTAAACCAAGAAGAACTTCTATTATTATCTTTGGAAAGACTATTTTCTATCATGCACCTTTAAAGAAAGTCATAATCATTGCAAAAATCAAGACAGTATTTTATTTTCCAAGTGGCCAAACCGGGTAGGATGAAAAAGAAAGTGAGTTCTCCGGGTTTATCATACAAAAGCCCTCTGTCCATCTCCCCCTGAAGTCCCCTTTCTACCCTGCATTCCTATCTCCCCCTTCATTTAAGGCCAGTAGCGACTTGAGTCGTGTAGCTCTCATACAGCACCAAAGCCCTCTCTGCCTCCAAAGACACTCAGATAAAGATCAGCTCTAATTGGTTTTAGATGATGCCTTTAAGTTATAAATCTGCATTTCCTAAACATGTTCAGGAGATAAAAATTTAAATAACCCCATGGGGTATGGAGTACAGATGAGTCTCTTTCCTCTCCTGACCTCTAGGCTCCCAAATCCCCTCCCAGAGACAGCTACCCATTTCTTAACCATGAGAATACAGTCTATGTGCATATGACACACACAGGTGAACAGATTATTTTGCTCTTCCAATTGCACAAGCCAACAAAAAATATTCAGAAGTGTAATTTGCACAGAATCTTAAGAGAAAATGCATTACAAATCTTAGAAATGTTCAACATTCAGGCAGCTTTGGAGAAAGAAGTAAATCCCTCACAATATTAAACATTGACAAATATTCCTTACTTTTTAAAGAATCATTGTCTTTTCTGAACACACTTTTAGACTGTATCCAGTCTTGAAGCAATAGCATTCAAAAAGCACCAGTAACTGAATTAAAATAAAACTCCATCATCCTAGCAAAAGCTATTTCTGTGGCTGTGTGTAGTGCTTCGGAGTAAGCTCAAGGTCTCTAAATATGCAAAGCACACACTCTACGTATGAGCTACTCCCCAACCCTCAGCACGAACACATTTTCAGGCTTCAAGAACAAACCCATAGCTTTAGTAATTCAGGTTCTAATGAGCAACCTCACAGTTACCCTATCCATGAGTTTTGTTACATTGTAGACTTCAAATCTGTCTCCTCCCAGCCTTCCTTCTCTAGGACCAAAAGTCTTCAAAACTAACCAAATGAGAAACGCATTGCTCCCCAGGCTCATAGAAGGTGTCTGAGAAATGTGGTAATTGCAGCCTTAGGCACCTTGAATGTTTCATATTTTTAAAATCAGGTATGTGACCCATGTGTTAAAAACAGCGCATTTGGGCCAAGCTTGAGTAACGAAGTCCTTATGCAGAACAATGAGAGCAGTCACATTTAGGTTTGGTGGCTACCACTGTCAACTCCAATTAAACAATACCCGCTTTCAGCCTCAGTGGTTTTTGAGTCATCTCATCTTATCATCACACTGGGATTCTTAATTTGTAAAGCATGATGGGCAAGAAAGTGGTTATTTGGAGGTAGATATGCAGACCTGGGTTTGAATCATGACTGTCAGCAATTAGCTGCAGGGTTGAGCAAAGTTATTCTTACTCATGAAGTCTTGGTTTTCTTGTATATAAACTGAGACTAACAAAAAATGGCTCCCTCATTGTGTCATTAAGAAGGATAAATGGTTACATTTTTGGAAAACATTGACCAGATCACCCAACCAAAGGTGGGACTCTGCAGGGCACACGGCCGGCCCACTGGGGTAGCAGCACTCCACAGGTGATAGCCATCATCCTCTCTTACCACCGTCCCAACTTTTTCTGTCTCCCCTGCCCCACAGTGCTCCTTTCCCTGGACAATGCCCAATCCATTCAAAGTACAAAGTTTCACTTGGTCATCCCAAAAGCAGGCAGTCCTGTCTCAGAAGGAACCTGGGTTTACAAGGAAAAGAATTCACTGAACTTGAGGACTCCTCCCCTTTGCCTCCGTTCTCCTTTGCATCCAGCTGAGCGAACAAGTCTCCACTCTTTCACATTTTTGTGTAGAAGGCTTCTTCCTCTCACTCAACTAAATACCATATTTCTCCACCATTCCATCAGGAATTCTCTAATTCCCATTACCCTCTTCTATGCTTACTCTTTCCAGAGTATTTATATTGTATAACACATTATACCAATTACTTCTCTATTACGTATATCATCTACCTTTTGCATAGCACTTATATACTGATTACTTCTTTGTTATGTTTATCATCTGTTGTTTATTTTCCCCATCTATGTGTGCACACACAAGGATGTGAGCTTCTCTGGGTCAGGAATTTTTGTCTGCTTTTGTTCACTGATATGCTCTTGTGTGTTGGCACACACAAGATCTTCTGTAAACATTCATTACAAAGAATGAGCACATCACTGAATCAGGCCACTCTTCTCCAGGTAGAGATTTAGCTAGAGAACTGGCCACCCCGAATTTTGGGCCAATGGGAGTAAAAACCAGCTCTGTACCACAATGCCCTTAGGGCTTAAGAAATAGATGAGAAATTATGCATTTTCAAATCTCTACCAAACCCTCCTCGGTTCAAAGGAATAGAATCCAATTGTTTGTGCCACCCAATCCACTATCTCTTTTAACATTAATTCATTTATGAAGCTTGTTGCAGTGACTTGCAGCAATGATGAGTGGCACTTTATATGAGTGTAGTGTTCAGAAGAGATACATTTGTCTCAATGGAGAACATAATAGTCATTTTTTAAAAAGCACTCTTGGAGGCTGAGGCAGAAAAATCTTAAATTCAAGCCCACCTTATGCAATTTAACAACTTAGCACGATCCTGTCTCAAAATGAAAAATAAAAAGGCCTAGGAATATAGTTCTGTGTGAAAGTCCTATATTCAATCTCCAGGACTCAATGTTCACAAAGAGACAGAGGCAACCAGTCATGAGGCACATCCCTGTAGCTCCAGCCTACTCTAGTAGGCTGAGGCTTGAGGATTCCAAGTTCAAGCCCAGGCTGAGCAATTTAGCAAGATCCAGTCACAAAAAAAAAAAAAAAAAATTTAAGCAACAATAAAAATTAAAATGATATTTGAAGGAAAAGAAGCCTACATCATTGCTTTACAAATGACATGGAAAATGTGAACTGTTAATGTAAAAAGAATGTAAGGTCTCTGGTCATGAAACTGTTCATAAAGATGTCTCTTAGAGCCAAGCTACCAGGGTCCTGGAGTTACAGGTAGCATCATGGGTACCATTAGAAACTCCTGCCTGTGACCTCAAACTGCAAACCACTGGGTCCAAGAACAGCAGTGAGGATGACTGTCCTTATTTCATTGCCATCAGTTGGAAAGATAATCTGTGAGCTGTGGCATTAGAACCCTATGTTTAAGAATAGAGAAGAGCTGCCCCTCCACATATGGTTAAAATGTAGCTCATTCAGTAGACACATCTAGAGCAGGAAATAATCATAAATATGCTCCAAGGTCTTTACAGACGATAGGAATCACATCTGGGCTTCCAGTCCAAATGCAGACCACATGGTCTCCTCGGGACAGCCTCACTGAGCAAAGCCCAGACACTCACGCACAACATCTGGCTTTTGCCCCGGCTTGAACCACCACTCCCTCTCAACTCTGTACGCTGTATTTTTTTTTTTTTTTAAACAAGCCTTCCTCAGCTACCACAAACCCTTTTGTGGGATCAGCAGGGAGACACTCATCCCTTTTCCCAAAATAACGTAAGGCAGAGGCAAAGGCCAAAAAGTTGGAGCCTGCAGGCCATTTTGCAAAAGTTTCAAATATCCTGGCACTAGACTCCATTACCAGAACCATGAAGGGAAAACAGCCAAGCCTCTCTTCACATCAATGTCCTCCCCCCCCCCCCACTACAAACATCCACTGGCTTATGGAAGACACAAAAGAGATCTTGAATGAAGTCATCTTTATCAGTGCTGGCTACTGGAAACAAAATTTCATTTCACAACTTTAATACCACAAAATCGAAATTGGAAACTTTAAAGGAAATGCGCAATGCTCAACCACGAATAAAGCAGTTCAGAAGTTTCTGAGGCATGCACCACAAAGACCTGGTGAGGGGTCCAACCTTCCCCAAAGCGTTTCTAAAAGCTGCAACTGCTTCACATTTTCCAGACTCCTCTGTCGCTCTTTCCTCTGAACAGAGAGGAGGAGGCAGATTTCCTGGCTGCACCCTTTAAGAAGCCAAATAAACCGTCCTCCTTCCTAATGTGGAGCAGGGTTTCAACACACGCACGCACGTGTGTAATCTTAAAAATATAAATAAAGCAAAGGGGGTGGAGAGTACGAGACAGAAAATGTTGCTTAGGCTTGTACAGATTTTTTAAAACCTTCCCACAAAAATCAATAGGAAACTAAGTGACGACGTGTCTTTCTCCAAACACATGCCCTCCTCTTTCTGACGATACCGTTAGCGATGGAAATGGAATTCCAGATGGGTAAGGCCCGGCGCGAGCACACGGAGCGTCGGGATCCTGGGGAGAGCTTCAGAGGAGCAGCGGCCCGCTGCCTCTGCTCAGGTGCACACGGCCTCGCCCCGGGCCTCGGATTCTGGCCCTCCCTCGGGGGCGCCGCGCTTAGGCGAGGTCCGTGCCCCCCGGGACCCCGGCTGCGTCCTCACCGTGTGGTACAGCAGGGTCTCGCCGTCCCCGGGCTCTGACAGCTCGCTCAGCTTGCGGTCCCACTGCAGGACGCCCTGCTCGCCGCTCTCCAGCACCTCCATGGCGCTCGGAGCCGGCCGGGCGAAGCCGCCGAGGTCTGAGGGGCCCACGGAGCCGCCTCGGGCCGGTGAGAGGCCCCCGCGCGTGTGCGTGTATGTGTGTGTGTGTGTGTGGCGGGTTACCAAGCAGGGACACGTCTGCTCCCCTGGCTGGGATTCTCAGAGATCTGACGATCCCGGAGACAGCCGCCCAGAGCTCGGGTATCGGAGGCTGAGGGTTAAGCAGGGATGTGCATCCAAACTGGAGGCAACAAATCAGCTTGCATCCCAAGAAAGTCCCTACGCCAGAAGCCCACTTTCCACTACCGCTCCAGACAGAAACTTTGAGACTCCCCAGCTGCGGCCCCACCTCCCTTCAGAGCAGTAGCCAATCAGACGCCGTCCTCTCCCATTAGACCCAATAAAAAGTCTTTCTCTTCGTTTTGTCCCGCCCACAGAGGTAGAGCCGAGGGAAGTCTCCGCCCAGGCTTTGGAATGTGGGCTGGGAGCACCTTTGACGTCACCGGGGAACTCCTCCTGCTTGAGTACAGCCAGCTGCCGGAGGTTTGCGGCAGCGAACCAATAGAATCCTTGAGTACGGAAGTGATGGACGGGGGCTAAACCAATAAAAGTGGCGAATCTGGGAGGTACAGCCAGTCAAATAGAGACAAGAATACATTTCATAAAAGAGGGCGGGCGAGCTCGGTCCCCTCCCTGAGACTCCTCAGAAATTAGCTCTTGGGAACGAAAAGGGATGCGAGACTGGCTGTGCTGCAGAACTTCCTTAAGAAAAAAGGGACAGTTTTAAGCGCTGTCCAGAATTATTGCCAAGTAGTTTAGTTCGAGTCACTTGGGATTGTTCTAAAATGAGTTATATTTATGCAAAATATAACTATTACCGCTGTGGGTGAATTTGTATTATCACAATTGTAACAAATGATCATTATTTGTTCTCCATAGTGTTTGCCCATATTCTGTTTCTCGTCTTCTCCCAGCATGTTGCGTATGGGCTTCGCTATTCTGGGTTCCTTTTTTTTTTCTTTTATCCACTTCACAACGTTACTGATAAGCACCAACGCGGTGCGTTTTCAGGTACTAGAGCAAAGGGCTGGAGTTCTGCAATTCGTAGAGCTTTATCCCAGTGAAAAGTCAGGCAATACATAGATAAATAAATGCATGATGTAATTTTGGAAAGTGGTAATTACTGTCAAGAAAAATAGACGCAGGATAAAAGGATGGTTGATACTACTGATTAGAGAGTTTCGCTCTGGGCAAGTGACATTTGGGCATCGTTTAAATGAAATAAGATGTAGAGAAGAGAGGATATAGGTGACCAGCAGGAGGGCGCACCCAGCAATGTGTGGTACAGAGAAGAGGGGCAGGGACTAGATCACCCCATCTAAATCACCTCGCCTAAATTAGAGAAGAGAGGGCTTTTTTTTTAAAGTGATTTTTTTTCTTTTTTCTTTTAGATGCATTCTTTTCAGGAACCAGCCCTTGAAATATAGTGTGTCCACCTTAAATGTAAAGGAGCTCTAGATGTTTTGCAAATTGGCACATTTGGGCACTAAGAATTGCTTTCATGCCCTTGCCAAGTAATCTTTGGCGGTGGAAAGTCAAATGTCTTAGAACTTTACCGTTATCTTTAAGCAACAGTTTACAATGTAAACTACTCTGCTTGTCTGACACTATCCCCTGGAGTCTTTTGGTGATTATTTTAATGCTTAAAGAGAAATTCTAGTTTGGTGAGTGTCACCTTCCTTAAATAATAGTTTTCTCACTTTTCTTTTAGTCCCTGGTTTTTCTTTTCCAACTTGTTGACCTCCCTTACCATGTCCTTTCAAATCTTAAAGACCTTTTGTTTTGAAATAGTATTTGACATGAGCAAGGGAGGTTAGAAATACATACATTCTCTTTAATATGAGAATGCCAACATGTACCTATCCAACATTTCTGCTTTTGACAAAATCGGTTCCTGGTTATGTCCATGTGGGAGGCAGCTTCTAAGATGGCCCCTAATGACCCCACTTCCTGAGCTGGCACCCTTGGGTAAGTCCCTACTCTTGAGTGTGGCTAGACCTGAAAACTTCCTTCAAACAAATAGAATATTTCAAAAGTGAGGGGACATCACAAGGGTTCTAACTCCCAAAGTGCTTGTTGTCTCTTCCTGACTTGCTTGCTGAGGGAAGCCAGCTGCCATGCTTTAAGCTGCCTCATGGAGACTGCAGTGTAGTGTGGGACTGAGGAAGTTGTTCAGCCACCAGTCAGCAAGAAACAGAGGCCCTTGGTCCAATAACTCTAGAGCAATTGAATTCTGCTAATCAGTCTGGAAATGAACATGAACATGGATCGTGCCTCTCGTGAGGTGAGATATAACCACAGCCCCCACCCACATTTTGACTGTAGTACAGGACCCTGAACCAGAAGCAAAATTGGATATATAAGTCAACAAGATTTTTCCCCCTCGTATTACTTTCTCTGTCCATGGGACTGTTTACAAACCTACTCTGCATGCTTTCTAAACTTGTGTCTCAATCACTAAGATAAATTGAATCTGTACACTTGACAGATTCCTGCATTCCTCAGAGATTGCTTGTTGGGAAGGGGGAGATGGCCCATAAGGGCTCCTAGATGGAGCCATTTGGCCAGAAGCCAAGGAAACTTGTCTATCTATCTGTAAGCTTTACATAGAGATGTCCCCCAAAGCCTCATGCACTCACAAGTGGGGCTTTGGGGAGGTGACGGGATCATTCAACAGTTGATTGGTCCACTGATGAGTGTATGGCTAATGTGATGTTAAGGTGAGACGTGGTGGGAAGAGATAGATCACTGCAGCATGGCCTAGAAGAGTCTATCTTTCTCCTTCTCCTTCAATCTCTATTTCCTGCCACCGTGCCATGAGCAGATGTCCTCTGCTGTGACCCTCTGCCATGCCATCCTGCCTTGCAGCTGGCTTATTATGGACTAAAACCTCTACAAATAAACTTCTCCTCCTTCAATTTGTGGGTGTCGGGTATTGTGTGCCAGCAAAGTAGTGAAGACTCTGTTAGCGATTTTCTAATGAAAAGCTGTAACTAGTGAGGAAGAGCTATCTTTTCCCATCTTGCCAAGATCAGAGATGGCAAAAATCACAGAGCAACAGACACACACAGTGGCAGGTGGGAGCAGCAGCTGTAGTCATGGGTCCCCTCCAGCTACCATCTTCAGGAGACCTGGAGCTTCACTTTTCTCAGGCTTCCACCAGGCTCCCAAATGATGTTCTAATTCCCACTCATGCTAATTCAAGGGCCTGTAAAGGCCCTTTAAAAGCATAGTAAGCTGACTAACTGCTTGAAAATGAATTTTATTATATTAAATCCCTACTTCACAACATATATGAGAAAAAAATCACAAAAGGACAAAGGACATAATTTTTTTTTTTAAACTATCCAGAGAGACTAGAAGTACAACACTTACAATTTTGTTGGGGCCAAAGTATAGGCACAATATAAGTTACAAAAAACATATAGGAAAAGATTTACATTTACATAAACACAGGAGGGCCCAGGCAGGGGTAGGGAGGCCTCAAGGACGTACTTTGCTGTGCCACAGATTTTCCTCAGACAAGTACAAGGTTCTTAGTGAGGAAATGTTTGCACTAGCCACAAGAGAAACTGGTGGACCAAAAAACACAACCAGAAACCTAGCTGCTGACCCCTTATAAAGGAGTTTAGGATTCAGCTGGAAATGTAATTTCTATTATACTGCCTCCATGTGGCTATAGAAGAAAATGCACCTAGCAAACCCAAAGAGATGAATTGTACTACCTGGGCTTAGGCAATCATTAATTAAAATCAGTTCTTCTGTCTTAATTTCCAGCCCACTGGTCAAGATACAGAACATTCCTACCAGTTCAAGGAATTCATGCATGCTGCTTTTAGTAGGTACACCTCTGAAGACCATTGCTGTGCTGACTTCCAAAAATTAGACTGACCTGTTTTGAGTTGAAATAAAGGAACTCCTCTGGGACCTACACTTATATCTGGCACATGGCATCTGTGAGATGTGTCCACAACGCTGCTACACTTGATTCTCATTGTTTCAATAAGCTGTGTTTTGTAAAATCACCACTGACACTGAATTAACCAATACTCACCACTTGCTCCTGGAAAAAGTAAGGCTTAGTTTCCTGTGAACCTCAGGCTACAATTTAATCAACTAATCATACAAATAAGTATATAAAAATCATGCATTGACTGGTCAACACATACATACAAAACCAAAGCAATCCTATGGTGTTTCCATTTAAAGAAATCTTTTAAAATAGGTTTCTCTTCTGATTAATTGTTTTGCTCTATTCAATGTTGTTTTGATAAGTTCTATAATGTTCTATATTTCACTTGATTTTGCTATAACTGATTGAAAGAACAACTATTGTGAAGATAAGGAGATATACTGTGGTAGCTATTACTGTTATCCACTAACCTGCTGTGAAGTTCTGTACCAATTTCACTGCATTGTCTCAATAGGCTTTGTTCTGTCGTATTTTACTACCTTCAAAATAATAAAAAGTTAAATATATTTTCTCTAAAACGTGTCTCACAACCTTCTTGCACTTAGACATACTGCATAGCTCCTTAGTAACAAGTAAAAAATTACCAGCAAAAACCAAATAGATCTCAACAATACACTTGTTTATAGTATAAGAGCTAGAACAAGAAGACAGAGTAAGACCTCTGAGGCCTTCCTGGAAATGTGCACAGCAATGACTCTAACCATCCCATGTGTGTCCTCATGTGAAGAAGAAAATGCTACGAGTATTTATTTTGCACTTCCAAACAAATTTTAGCAATCAGGCAAATTCTTGACTACCGAATCCTTGAATGACAAGAATCAACTTGTTTCGCTCTTGAGATGCAGTATGGAGACTAACAGACACGTTCAAGTATCAAGCTCCTGATCCTCTGGAAGGGCAAGCGTAGCAACATGTTGCTAGCCTCAGCTTCATCTGGGTAGACAGTGGGCAGTTCTCTGCTGCTGAGCAAACGTTGTTATATGTTTCTACCATTATTTATTTAATCATGCACTTTTAAATGAAACCTGAGATTGTTTCTAACATAAAGCTACCATGAACACTCTTGCTCATGTTGCCTTGTGAAAATAATGTGCATATTTCTCTTGCATATATATTGCAGTTTTCCAGTGTGGTTGTTTTTTTTTTACTCTCCTCAGCCATATGACAGCATCACGTATTTCGTTTTCCAGCTTTGCAGTGCTGGGGATGGAATTCGGGACATTGCACATGCTAGGCAAATGCTCTAATATTGAACTACATCCTCAGCCTTCCCTTTTGTCCATGTTTTATTAATCT